TCAGAATATATAACTCTATATCATAAACCTAGTGATAAAATTTTAGCTCAATCAGATCACTGATCAACTTTCATTCAACCAACTCTCCTTTTTTTTTTTCTCTTTATTTTTCTGGCTTTTTTTCTTGGTTTTGTGACACAACTTTAAAACAATCCCACCTCCTTTTATTAAGTAACTAGGGCTTTATGTAAGAAGAAAGACCAAGGCCCATAGCCTTCGATTGTTCCAAAACTAATTACATGGGTTTAGACCCCATTTTTCTAACAATTTCCCCCTCCAGCCCCATTAGGAGGAGATTTAACACCATAACAGTTTTATTTGGAAGTTACCTTGGCTAAAGAACTCATTTCGATCAAGTTACTGTAGAGCTTAAGCTTCTTCTTAGGAAGTGTCTTAGTCAACATATTTGCTACATTCTCATTAGTATATACTTTCTTCAACAACATCTGTTGTTTCTTAATCACTGAATGTAACCAATGTTCTCTAACATCAATGTGCTTTGTTCTAGCATAGTACATGACATTCTTACTCAAATCTAAAGTATTATGGCTATCACAAAACACTACATACTCTTTCTGATTCAACCTTAATTCAAAAAGAAAACGTTTCATCAAAAATATTCTTACTTGCTTCGATTATTGCAATATACTCAGCCTCTGTAGTTGACAAAGTAACACACTTTTACAACTTAGACTCTCAAGACACAGCTCCTTTTACGAAAATGAACAAATATCCTGAAATAGATTTTCTACCGTCAAGGTCACCGTTATGTCAACATCAGTAAACCCTTCTAGAACTGGTTGTGAAACTTTATAACTCAAGCACATTTTTTAAGTGCCCCTCAAATATCAAAAAATTTATTTACTATTTTTTAGTGAACTTTTCTCGAATTAAAAAAAAATTTGTTCACTACACCAACTGTATGAGCAATGTCAAGCCATGTACAAACCATAAGATACATTAAAGAACCAACTGAAGAAAAATAAAAAATACTAGACATAGCTAGTTGCTTTTTCTTAGACACCAAACAAGATTTCTTACTTAGATGAAAATGGTTGGTAAGTGGACTATTAACTGATTTAGCATATTGCATGTTGAATCTACTAAGTATCCGTTCAATATATTTTTCCTATGACAACCACAGCTTTACAGCTTTCCTATCCCGAATAATGTTCATTTCGAGAAACTACTTTGTTGGACCTAAATCTTTCATATCAAAGGACTTAGATAATTGTTCTTTCAATTTGCAAATCATACAAACATTTTGTCCTATAATCAACATATCATCAACATATAATAAGAGAATAATGAAGTTACTATTAGAAAACTTTTACAGCTACACATAAGGATCCACTACCATTCTTTTATAACTATGACTCACTATAAAATAATCAAACTTCTTGTACCACTATTGAGAAGCTTGTTTCAAGCCATACAAGCTTTTTTTCAATTTGCAAACTATGTTTTCTTTCCTTTTTACTTCAAAACCCTCAAAGTGATTCATATAAATTTTCTCCTACAAGTGACCATGTAAGATTGTAATTTTAACATCAAGTTGCTCAAGCTCAAGATTCAAAGTAACTGCTAATCCTAGTACCACTCGAATGGAACTCATCTTCAAAACTAGACAGAAGATCTCATCAAAATCGATGCCTAGTTTCTAAGAAAAATCTTTCACCACCAATCGAGCTTTGTACTTCACTAAGTTATCACCATCTTTTTTTAACTTGAACACCCGTTTATTTTTTAACGACCTCTTTCCTTTCAAAAGTTTAATGAGATCATAAGTACTATTTTTTTGTAATGACTCCATCTTTTCTTTTATTACTTTTAACCAGTGCTCTTTATTCGAAGTAATCTACATATCTTATAAGCTCTCTGGCTCCCCTTCACTGGTAATTAAAATAAAATCTGAACTTAGATACATGGTAGATGACATGTGCTCTCTAGTAGATTTTCTAGGCTAAGACTTTATAGCATCGATGCCGAAAGTAGCTTCTCCTGCTCAACACTCTCAAGTAGAGAAAATTGCTTCTCCTGTTCAAAACTAATTATATATGGCTCATCATTAATTGTGGTTGGCTCATTCAAATCTTTAAGTTCTGTTTCTTACTCATTCTCACCATCTGTAGCTTTTTCTTATGGAACCCCTATTGGTGTTGAAACATCACACTCAATAGTAACCTGTGTAGTTTTCTCATTTTTGTCAAGATCTGCTATGGCTTCTTTTTCTTGAAAGATCACATCTTTGCTTTTGACTGTTTTTCTCTTCACTGGATCCCATACCCTATAGCCAAATTTGTCATCACCATATCCTACAAACACACACTGTGTAACTTTACTATTAAGCTTTGACCTTTATTTTTTTGACACATGCATGAATGCTTTACATCCGAAAACTTTTAAGTGAGAATATGAAGCATCCTTTTTCTGTCCACACTCTTTATGAAATGTCAAAGCCAAAAGAAATTGATAGTGATCTGTTAAGCAAATAACAAGCTGTGTTGATTACTTTATCCTAGAATGGCTTTGGTAATTTTACCATCCTTAACATACATCTGACTTTTTTCATAATGGTACGATTCATCCTTTCAGCTATACAATTATGCTACAGTGTTTTAGGTTCTGTTATTTCATACCTGATCTCATATTTTAAACAGTACTCTTCAAAGTCTTTAAATGTGTATTTCCTACCATTATCAGTTCAAATACATTTCAAGGGTAACTTTGTCATCCTTTTTATCATGGCATGAAATTTCTAAAAATACTATAATACCTAGCTTTTCTTTTAACATATACATCTAAGTCTTACTGAAGCATCATCAATAAAAGTAACAAAATATATGTTGCCACCTAATGACTTAGCCTCAATGGGACCATATACGTTAGAATAAATTAATTTCAATCTATTTTCTTTTCTCTGAGAACTCTTACAAAAAAAAAACTCTACGATGCTTATCAAACAAACAATAATCACATGATCGAGAAACATACCTTTGATCAAGGGAATAAGAGATTGTCTTGCCACAACCTATAACCCTTTTCTCGCTCATGTGTGCCAGCCTTTTATGTCACAAGTTTGCTAAAGCATTATCCTCAACGACATTTACCTGATTACCATTCAATTACATCCATGTCTTATACATTGTGCAGCATAATTTTCTCTTTGCAATTACCATAGATCCTTTGAAAAGCTTTCACTGCCCATTTTTTTATCGACTCTCATATCTTTCCTTATCAAAGATATTAATAGCAAGAAAGTTCATTCTTATATTCGAAATGTATCTGACATACCTTAAAGTCAACATGCAGCCTGTACTAGTTTGTACAACAATATCATCAATCCTAATAATCTGTAACATACTCTTGTTTTTCATCTTGGTGCAACCAAAGTCTCTTACTTTGTAAGTTATAAATAACTCTTTCTTAGGAACACAATGATATACCGCTCTTGTATCAACTACCACTCAATGCCAGGATCACCAACATCATTACAATCATCATGTGTATAAATCAAAGTAACTGAATCACTATCTGAATTCACTATTGCAACATTACCATCATCTAAACTCTTGTCTTTTTTATCTTTTCGCTCTTGCTTCAAGATTTTATAGTGTCATTTTCTATGAACTGCCTTACCACAATGAAAACACTTCACTTTATCTCTGAATTTGGATCTATGTTTAGACGTATTACGATCTTTTAAGTTTTGACCTCTGTCGATGTTTCTACCTTTGTTCTCTGTGACCAAAGATTTTCAGGGTCTACATCTTTTCACATTGCTTCTTCATTAAGCATACTGTCCTTTACCATATCCAGTGTCACCTTATAATTAAGAGCTGAATTAAAAACAGTCACAACTAAAGTATTCTAGCTGTCTAGCAATGAACCTAAAAGAAATAATGCCTTCATTTCATCATCCATCTTAAACTCTATAGTAGTCATCCGATTAAATATATCTTGAAATCACTCAAATGCTTAATAATAAATCATCTATCCATGTACTGTAAAGTTGTAAGTTTTTTAATAAGCATAACTTTATTCATACATGTTTTTCTCTCATACAATGCTATTAATTTTTTTCAAACAATGTGGGATCTGTCTCTTGCACTACATGATGGAACACGCTGATATCAACCCATTTTTTAATTGTAGCCAGCGTCTTTCTGTCTAACTTCTTCCAGCTTTTATTTTTTATATCTGTTGATTTAGCTGAATCACCCAATACTAGCTCATACAAATCTTTACAGTATAAATGATCTTCCATCATAGGCTTTTAAATTGAATAATTTGATACTATCAATTTTATTATGAAACCTGTATCACCCTCCATGATCTCAAATAAAATTTACTTCTATCTTAGGCTACTTCTGTATTGATGTCTCAAAATAACCATCGCTCTGATACTACTTATTGGGCCTAAAGCAATAAACACAATAACGCAGAAGTAATATATCGTAATAAACCCACAGTAATAGCAACAATCAATAACGCAAGAAAAATAAAACACAACAAGATTTACGTGAAAAACCCTCTAGTGTTGAGGGAAAAAATCACGGACCACCAAAAAAATCTCTACTATCAAATAATGGATATATAAAGTTCTTCTCTAGTTATAACTAAAGCTAATCAACAATTAGGAGACAATTGAAGAAATCTCACTAAATAAGTGACTCAACAAATATACCATGGATTTGTTTCTAGAGAGTTTCAAACCCGATCTCACCGTTCAAAATGTAGAACTCTAAATCATAAACCTACTGACAAAATTTTAGCTCATTCGGATCATGGATCAACTTTTGTTCAACCAACTCTCTCTTCTTCTTTTTCTTTCTATTTTTTTTGGCTTTTCTTATTTTTCTTTTTGGTTTTGCGACACAACCTTAAAATAACCCCACTTCCTTTTATTAAGTAACTAGGGCTCTGTGTAAAAAGAAAAACCATGGCTTATAAACTTTGATTGGTCCAAAACTAATTACATGAGGCTGGATCCCATTTTCCTAACATGATCTTGGTATTCTGCCTTGCAATTGTTTTTGGCTCAAGTCCATCACACTCAACCCGCAGCTCTTCGTATATGTTGGAGGAATAGCACCGGTAAAGTGATTATTTCGAAGGTTGAGAACTTTTAGAGAGTCACTTAGAATGACTAAACATGGCGGCAGCATCCTAGTCGAGTTGTTATTGGACAAATCCAAGGCCAGAAGAGGAGAAAGATTGCAGATCATTGACCGGATTTCTCCCGACAGCGAGTTATTCGAGACCAAATAAGAGCTGATGGTAGGCGGTGGATGGGGCAGTGATCCATGAAACATGTTACAAGCAAGGTTGAAAACCTCTAAGCTACTCCATGGGAGAACGGCAGGAACCTCCTGAAATCCAGTTAGAAAATTAAAGCCCAAATTTAAGTACTGGAGAGTTTCTTTTCCCACACTCCTGAACCAATTTAGTATTTGGCCATGAATTTTGTTGTCAGCAAGTTCCAAAAACTCAATTCATGTTGATTACGCAGAAAACTTTGGAACTCGGTTAAGTTGCATGAAGCCAATCCTAGAAGCTTGAACCTTTGACGAGTGGCAGTGATGCTGACATTGTTTAGCAAGGACAGGTAGTTGCCTGAAAGTTGGAGTCTGGTGAGATTTTTAAGCTCAAGGAATGAGTCCAACTTGAGAATTCCTGTTAGTTGATTTCTTTGTAAATAAAGAAGTTCAAGATTCTCAAGCTGGAAGATTGATTCTGGAATAGACCCACTCAAAATATTTTCCTGGAATTTCATCTCACTTAGCTCGGTAAGGTTTCCTATCCAAGGTGGAATCTGACAATCTAACTTATTGCCTCAGAGATATAATTTAGTAATTTGGGTCAAATTTCTGAGAGAAGATGGGATTTTACCAGTTAAATTGGTGTTTGACAAATCCAAGTCTGTTAGATTGGTTTGTTTACCAATCCAGGACAAGGTTCCATGGTCGAAACTCTTGGTGGAAAGGGACAGATAAACAAGTTGGGTAAGATTGGCTAAGGAAGAAGGGATCTCCCCTGAAAAATTGTTATAAGAGAAATCCAAACTCATGAGCTGGTTTAGGTTTCCAGCTGAAGGAGGAGTAGGTCCCGAAAAGTTATTGTAAGACAGATCAAGATAGTTGAGTTCAGTAAGGTTAGCAAGTGAATATGGTAACTTCCCTGAAAAATGGCAGTTGTTGATGTCTAAATATTCCAAGGACTCGAAGTTTCCAATTGATTCTGGCAGCTGTCCGAAAAAGCTTGTGTTTGCAGGGCTTAACTTCAAAAGAGGATGACTGCCCTGAATATCAGGTAAATATCCTGTAACTTCTTGATTGGATTGCAAGCTGAGAAACTGAAGACTTGGTAAGTCACAGTTTGATAAAATTAAAGTTGTCAACGAAGACAAATTTGCTGAGACATTAGGTACCAAAGAAGAAAATTTCACATCAGTGAGAGAAAGTGCATTAAGATTGGTTAACTTTTCAAGCAGAGATCTCAAGCCTAGCGTTCGAAGCTTCAATGAGTTTCCTGACAGATCAAGGAGCTCTAATTCTGATAGCTCCAGGATTTCTGATGGAACTTGACCAGAGAAGTTGGAGTAAGAGAGGTCTAGGAATGTCAGTCTTGGCAGATTCCTAATCTCTGAAGGAATTTTGGAATTGTTGAAGACATTGTTGGCAAGATTAAGCACTTCAAGGTGAACAAGACGGAAGAGGCTGCTGCTGGAATTGATTGACCCATAAAGATAACTGTTTCTAAGATCAAGGACGATTACATGACCAGCGCTGTTGTCGCACTCGCCCCATTCCATGAACAACAATCACCACCTCTTTCCTCCTCCAGTTTCCAGGATTCAGTTTTGGGATACGCATCAGGACTACTTGAGGCAGAATTATCGATGATAAAGCTTTCCTTGAACTGCAACAATGCTAAGCGCTCATCAGGGAGACACAAGGGCAGTAGCTGTACTGAAGAAACAAGAAAAAACATTAAGAGTAAATATCTCAATTGTTTACGTCCAGAACTCTTGGATGTGCAATGAAAATCAGTAGTGACAGACCATTTTCTGACAACCAGACAGTGGAAATGAAACTGTTGGAGTCGTTTGTGTGCAATTTTGTCATTGAAGCTTTAAACAGTGAAGTTTATTATTTTATTTATTTATTTATTTATTGCATCTGTTTTATCAAAGATTCCAGAAGGCAAGGTTGGAACATCCTGCAATTTGCTTTTCCAAAAGCAAACACCATTGATTTACTTGGATGAACCATGAGTCTCCCCGAGACCATTTCAAAGTCTTCCACTTTTAATTTGCGTGTTTCCACGCTGAAACAACTTTTGCCTATTACTAATAATTTTAACCGGAAAAGACAAGAAAACCAAATTATGTTGTAAAAACTCAAAAAAAATGCATAACTTGTTCCCTGTTTTCTGTTATACTATCTTTCATTCATATTTCTCTTTTGTTCATACCCGTATTAGGCTTAAGTTGCAAATTAAACAGAGTTTTGTCGGCCACCTGCATGGGTGACAGATCAATGATCCAGTGATTTCTTTGTGCTTAATTTTTTAAGTGTTCAACGATGCAATAAACAAGTGCGAGAAGGGGAGGGCATCGAAATTAACTTCAATATAATATAAGATTTTAGCACTGTGCTACTACTGTTTGTGGTTTGAGGCCTGATTAACTTTGTTATTCCAACTTTGTCCTTTTGTGTTCTGTCAATAATCCTCTATATATGATAGTTTGTTTCTTAAAAACGCAAATGCTATTTGGGGTATCTTGTTTTTGGGGTTTATATATGATCATATAATAAAATTGATCTTAATATTTATTAAATGAAGAAAATGATCAAGATCATCAACAAATATGTGTAACAATAAATCGATTCTTTTAATCATTTTTACGAAAGTCGAAAGGCAATAATTAATATATAGAAATCAAATTTATTAAGATATTTTTGAATTTCACTAAAAAATATGTGCATGGGATTGAGTTAATCTTATAATTCTAATAAAAAATTGATCTTTTAAATAAAATTATATTTAATTGATAAAAATAAATAAATATAAAAGTTATACATACACTTTGGGAAAAGAAAAGGATGGTGCATAATGAAGCTACTTTCGGTCAATGCAAAATTTTATTTCAATATTCATCTTCTTTTGTGTTAAAATATTGCTCATTTCATACATTAAATTTAAAAAAAAATTAAAAGCTTTTTCTGACATTATTTGATACATATATATATGGAAGATACCTGATAATATATTAATTAGTGTATTTTTTTTGTGTGTGTATTTATACAAATAACAAATAATTTGTGCATCGCATAAATTAATAAGAAATAAATTAAATAAAAAGATAAAAAAAAATGTAATTGAACCAAACAAGAAATTTCCCATATGCAAAATTTATTGTTATTATTATTATATATAAGAAAAACACTAGGACTCAAATCAAAGATCTCTACCTCAATCCCATGCACGCCACCCTTTAACATAAACTGGAAGATACTGTTGAATAAATCATTACTCAACATATATAGCACCTTGAAACACACTATAGAAACAAAATAATTATCAAAGACTTAATTAGAGTCCTTTTCGATTAATGCAAGGGCATGTCGATCTTGAATAAATAGACACTTTTCCTGCCTTTCCTGCTGGTGGTGTGGGTATGTTGCATACTACATATTTTCCATTCTTGTAGCATGATACTTTTGTAGCCACACGCTGTCCACCTGTGTTTGGCACTGGAAAACTTACGCTAATGCCATTGTGTTCCACTGCATGCATGCATCATCAACAAAAAAAAAATATGTTGTTTTTCTCATCAATGAAAGAGTATGCCCTAAAAAAAAGATTCATGAAAAGAAATATAGAAGTGAAATAGAAAGCAATTTTCTTACCGTCGTGAACTTCTCGAGCTGTAGAGAAAGGAAGGACACAAAACAAGAACAAGAGGATGCAAATAATGAGCAAAGCCTTCATGTTTTTGAGAGTATGATGTTATGCTCAGCTTCTGATGGCTTTCCTATGTCTATTTATATTTGAATAAACTTTTGAAAGCAGTATGAATGGGTGGGCGTTGGATCCATCAAGCAACCCCCATAATTAGGGGCATGGCCCCAGTGGAAAGAGGGAGGAAACGCATTACTAACTTTGTCACCTTCTTTATAACTTTTGTTTTTTTGACTATCAAAAGGATTGTGATTTGTGAATGCCATTCCAATTCACACTGGTCAAAGATACAAAACTTAAAAAAACAAAAGTTTGCACTTTTGTTATTATTAGAAACATTTTATCTTACTTTCTAGTTATTCAATTATTTTACGTGAAATGAGATTTTTATTTTTTGAATATGGTTTCACTTTATTCTAAAAGAGAAAAATGTGTAATGAAATATAACTAAAAAGAGGCCTTTAAATAATAAAAATATTTTTTAATAATTTTAAATATATATTTAAATTGAATTAAAGAAATATATAATTTATTAATGAAAATAATTATTTATCTCATAACGTGTTTGGTAGGGTAGAAAAGTGAAAAGCTAGACAAGGGAAAGTGAAAAAGTGAAAAAAAAAAAATTTGTTCAATCAACCCATATCACGTGTTTTTAAAATTTTCTATCGGTCATTCAATTTCTTTCATTATTTTTCCCCAAAAGATCTTCCCCAAACCATGTGATTTTTACCTTAGGTTTTAGGCTCCATCTCCTTCTGCCTATGATCCAAAAGTTCCAAATCAATTGTTTTTTCACACAGGAAGCTATGTACCTGGAAGTCTACTTTGTGTAGCAGCAGCCGATGAATTGGATGTGTTGAAATCTATTTGTTTTTTTTTTTCTCTTTAGTAAATTTCTCTTATTACATTTTTTTTAATATTTTATATGCGTATAACCTTAATTATAAAAACATATAAGCAGTAAATACATTAAAATTAAAGCAAGAAAGTAGGTGAAACATAGAACAAACCACACTAGACCTTAATTATGTAAATGACCATGGCGATTTCACTTAATTATGCAAGGACATATATAGACCATCTACTTCAGAACTATGGCTCGAAGTATAGCATATATAGACTAAATAATATATGACTGACGCATTAGTTTGGGTTTCAATATCCTTGAACTTCAACTTAGTTTACACGAAAATGCACTAGTTCATAGTTTACAGGAAAATGCACTATTTCATGGCTGATGCTACTGCATGAGCTCATTCTAAAAAATTTGTTTGTTTCTCCAATAATAATATCTAACAGGAATGAAGAACCCAATGAATGTGATGCCTACTAGACAAGCATACATAAATGGTGGAAGAACTGGAGATACCATAGACATTATCAACAAATTGGCCTAGATGTGCTGTTGCTGATCAAACATTGAGAAATAGAAAGGAACTAGAAGGGACTGATCTGACGAGCCAACCTTAATAAAATCTCAGGCACGAGGCGTTTTCTTGGACGTTCCAGAGCTTCCTCATCACTAGCATGTATCACAGCAACCAGATGGTCAAATGGATCATCCTTCTACCTCTTAAAGGATCCTGCATAGCAGCGCTCGATTTTAGGGGAGGAAAGAAGAGTTTATCAATGCCATATCAATATATTTGTCACAAATTTATTTGCTCAAGGAACTGGAAAGCAGGGAAACCTTCAAATAGCATACCGAAAAAAAAAAAAAAATGCAGTAGCGTAAATCATTGTGTGCATCAATCCTTAAATATTGTTATGACTAAAAAATCATGTAAAACAGAGCTCTGGCCAAAACAGTAGTTTGGTTCTATTAGCTACTAGTAATAAAAACAAAAAAAAAAAAATGTTGAAGTATGGTCCTTGGTTGAAAGATGATCCAGTATCGACGGTGAGGGATGCTGTTGTGGCAAAAGGAATCAACCATGTCAGAATAAGTTTCTATAGTTACATATCACAAAAGTAGATGTAGGAACTGGTATATTAAACCTATAATGACAATAAAAAGCTAGAAATTATCACTTACCTGTAAAAACAGATCAGTATGAGACTTTCCTTGATATAAAATTGGCTCCGCCTCAGCCCCTACCCCTCTGAGAGCATCTACAAAGTTTATACTGCACAGAAAACGTCAATACCAGGAAATAATGCAGCACTTTCTGTAAAAATTTGCAGTAAATCCATTGCAGCAGTAGATGACTCCGTTTCACAACTTAGAACAATATTTACCTTTACAATCTAAAACTTTATAAACCGCATTTGACAGGGATGGCAAATTGGGAAACACATGCATTACTAGCAATATGATATCTGTTCTTCACCACCATACATCAGTAGAGAGAACAGTATCTGATAGAATTATTCTAGTTACAATCATTATTACATAATACCTATTACGATTCCAGAATAAAAATATAGTAATGGAATTAAATACAAGAAGGTACCCACTCATCACCTGGACGCAGAATATTGTTTTTTTTTTTTCTCAGTAGCATATGCCATTTGAAAATAAACAAAGATATTAAACAATCAACATCTAGGAGCCATATCCAATAGAACTTAGTTGTTAACACTATGCCAACAGGAATTCTAACCTGGCATCTGATGGTATTGAATAATCTGAAGTTCCATGGAAAAGTTTAATAGGAGGCAGAAGAAAAGCAGCTTCTCTACAGTTTGGATCTTTTACTCTTAACTTCAGGAGAAATTTTGTTCAAAGGACTCTTCCCCTTCCATAATGCTGTAACATAGAAAGAGAACTTTAGTTGGGTAATAAACTGGTAGATGGGGTAATAAAAGGAAAATGACAAGTACATATAGATGTTTACCGGAAAAATACTGTAGGCGGAATACCTTAAAAAGATGGAACAATAAAGGCCTCGATTGTGGAAATAATCAACCACATTGAATAAATTGTACCTATTCACAGAATTTAAAAGGAAATAAGCAGATATCTATGTACAACTATCAATCTGTTTATACAATTTAACTGGAAAATAAGACCATATGATGTACATTGTACAACTATCAATGAACAGAAAGAGCATAACGCAAACATAACAAACAGCATTTTACACTATGAAAATCATTCCCATTGCAGTGATACCCTCCTGCAAATAATTTCTCTGAAAGTCAGAAAGCATGGAAACTATGCCCCAAAACCATTCCAATGACTCCACATAAGAAGTGAAACGGTAGCTTGTTGCTTATTCATGCTTAGGATATAAACATTTTTATCATACAAAAGGTATTAAAAAGGTTTTCAATTCAGATAGCATTAAGAACATTGTAGTCCCAAAATTATGCCCAAAAAAAATAGATAAGTAAAGCTTTCTGCAGATCCAACATATCTTATGCAAGACTCACGATAAAGAACACATAAAAGTTTACCCGCCAGATAAACCAAAATAAGCTTTTATCTGGGAGACACTCTAGGTGATTCTTTCTCCTCTAGATTCTTTGATTGCTTGCTGCAAGAGAACACAAGCAGAAATATGTGCCCCTGCTGACTGACCCATTACATAGATTCTATTCAAAAAATAACCATAAAGGAGTCAATTGACATAATATGGAAAAAGGAGAGGCATGCATCAAAAAAAGCAGTCAGTCACCTATTAGGATCACCTCCATATCCTCCAATGATATTGCATATAAATGAGATCCCTTGAGATACATCTTTCACCATATCACTAATGGTTCCCTGGGGAAAGTTTCTGCATACTAATATCAAGCAAAGACATTTAGTGTTTGAAGAAAACAGACAGGCCTCGTGAAGATAATAAAATTTTATGACAATATGTGAGTTGGTTAATATCTGGGGAGGGAAATTGCATAGAGCATGGAGACAAAACCAATCATTGGATATGGCTTTCCATTAATAAAGTTACGAGTACTTATTTTGACCCTTAGAATATTTCACTCGGGAGTGGCATTGTTGGCAAACATGAACACAGCACCATGTCATGGCATCAACCAAACTAATACCTGTGATCAACGCATGCTACTATGATGTCTCTTTCTGCCAATTGTAGTCCCAGAAGGGAACCCCAAGCCTTGTACCTAAATCAACAGAAAAGTTCAGAAACTTAACATAAAAGAATTGAATGATATTATATACTTTCAATAAATATTTTATGGTCCGCCAGAATTGAAAGTGGTTGATATTGTTAGACACTGTTTGATCATTCAAGTCCACTGAGTTAGCAATTTCAGCCTTAAATTCTCTTTAGGTTTATAGATACTTCATATGACATATCTCAATCTACGATTATCTAATTCCTTAGCACAGCCCACATGCATACACAAATACAAGGAAAGACAAACCGATGCAGAACCACCTTAAGGTATATTAAGGAATCTCAAGGCTATATCCTGCATTACATATTTAAATTAGGATTTATGAGTAATAAGATACAAAATCTTCCTCCTTTCTTCCATCTCATACTCTCTCTTTCTTCCTCCTTTCTTCCCTGGTTCTCAAGTTCTTCCTTTTTCATTCACAAATAATATACTACTTACTAAGAATGAGAGCTCCCTCATTCTCAAAGAAACCTACAATTCACTTTTCTCAAACCTGTATTGTATATTTAAGCCCGCAACTACGGCAATACTTGTTAGCAAAGCTTTGCTACGGCTAATTTGTAGTGTTACTTCAGATTGAGGGGCCTGGTGCATGTTACCAAATTAAATAATGCAAAACTCAACAGTTGTACATTAAAATGTGACTGATACGCATGCAGCAATCTCATGTCACTCACCCAAATATCCAGGCTCCACCGGTCACAACCACCACAACTGGCTTTGGGCCATTACTATTTGTTGGCAAGTATAAATCCAATCTGTCGATTCATCATCAAAAGAAAAAACAGCAGCATTAATCTATGATATGTGACAAGCAAGTTAATAACATATAACTACTTGTGCCACATATTCACATACCTATTACTTGGTTGATCTCCATAAACAATACTCCGTCGTACTTGACAAGAGAAAAAATAACAATATGCAACTGTAGAAGATTAACAAGTTATGCTTTTATCAATATGAAGATATTTGAAAGCAACCTACAAGACAAATATTTATGGCATTGGTGAACAACAGAGCTAAACTTCTATTTCTGTTACAATCAAGCACATATTAGTTATATTTGTCTTTCATTCCACCACATATTCAATTTTTAAACTGCCTAAGTATGAAGGCAAACATAGTGCAGATGTCATTTATCCCAAGCAAAGAGCTGCACAACCACAATCCTCAAAAACTTGACTGCAACTTCTATCACACATGAGTACGCATCCCCTGTGAATTCAATTAGTGGGAGAACTAAGACA